AGCTAGTAGTTTGCTAAAGATGGGGGTCCACTGTTCGGGAGAGGGTTTAAACAGTTCTGACAGTGAAAAGTCTTCTCCTGGGGCCACTTTTAAGTTTTGATCTTCAGGATTCCATCTATCTCTAAAGCTGCTTTGAATGCAGGAAATGAGACTGCATGATAGATCAGATTTTTTTAAGTGGATCAAATCTTAAAAGGAGACAATCATAGAACCATGCATTCAATTGATCTATCTTGTAGTTGTTAAATTGAGTTTATACATTTGCATTATTAGGCTATTTCTGAAGGCACAGCCCTTGGCCTCTGAAAATGTCATCCATAATAATCACTTTTAGTAAAAGGTCCATTGTGTTAAAGACAACTAACTGGCCATCTAATATTCTTGTTCACTCTCCATAGTTTGGAAATATTAGTAGGCAGTGACTCCCTAGCCAAGAACTACGTTTGTCAGTCTCCCTTGTATTTAAGTGGGGCCACATGTTTAGGTTTTGGCCCAAAATATAGAGAAGCAATTTGTCTCTCTTCTAGGCCGAACCCCCCAAATTTCCAGCTTGGTCTCTACTTCTTACTTCCTCATCTATTAGTTGATTGTTTATAGCCATAAAGACCCCCAAAGACAGTGATGCTTTCATGAACCAGAACCTCCAGTCCCAAAACAGGTGAACAAGAAACGAACTTTTATTGCATTAACCATCTAAGAGTTCAGAGTTTGTCTGTTAAAGCAGCTAAGGCTACCTTCATTAATACAGACAATTTGATGTAATTTTGTCTGAATTCTGCTTCAAATGTTTCATTAAATGTGCAAGCATTTTCCCCCTTCCTGGCAGGGTCTGCTGAAAGAAGGGACAGAGCACACCCAGCAACATTCAGTGTTGCCTATTCATTGAACACACAGCCAATTTTTACATGTGGCTGTACAGTTTAAGTACTGAGGACATAACAATAACACACATGTGGTTCCTGCTCTTGGGTATTCAAGGAAGCAGATCGCCAGGACTGTCTGCCAAGGATCCTCTGGGTGAACTTGAATTGCCAACCTTGTTGCTAGTAGTTGAATGCTCAACCATTTACTGTGTGTGTGTCCTCTAGGGCCTCCTAACACAGCTGTAGATCATTGTTGAACAAATGAGTGTGACTGCTTGTTCCAATAAAGCTTGTCCAATCACTTATTTCCATTTCCACTGATGACTCCAGAATACAAGTGGTATTCATCCAGTAGCCCCGTCCAGTCCCTCTCATCCCTCTAGTGTACATCCTAGTCCCTCTCCAAGGTGTTTTCCCACCACAAAAGCCAGGACAATAATTTCCAAATATATGTCACATTACATGGTTCCTCTGCTTCAAAGTTTCACTGGCTTCCTAGTGCATGCAAAATAAAATGTAATTTCTTACCTTCATCTTAAAAACCCTACATGTTGCTGCCCTCCACATCAACTCTTGCTCCCCTTTCTCTAGCTCATTGCTCTTCAGCTAATCAGACGTCCTCCACTTCCTTGAACACATCCTTTATTGTTTTCTCAGACATTTGCAACTGAGCACTTCCTGGACCCCCAGGGCTCCTTCATTCACATACCCGCTGGTTTTGGATCAATTTCTGACGCCTTTATAGGGTTTCCGTGACCACAAATCTTTATGGGAACAGACAGGCTCATCTGTCTCCAGAAGAGTGGCTGGTGGGTTTGAACTACCGACATTTGCTTAGCAACCCAACATCTAACTGATAGCACCACCTGTGCACCTTTATTCACATTGTCCTATGAGTAGATGCCAACTCACAGCGAGCCTGTTGGACAGAGTAGAACTGCCCCTGTGGGGTTTCTGAGACTGTAATTTTTTTTTATGGGAGTAGAAAGTCTCATGTTTTCCAGCTGGTATTTTTGAACTGCTAGCCTTGGTGACATGTTGGGTTGCGATCTGAATGGTCAGCAGTTCAAAACCTCCCCCAGCTCCTCAAGAGAAAGACTGAGCTGTCTACTCTGATAAACAGTTACAGTCTCAGAAACCCACAATGGGTCACTGTGCCTCAGCACTGACTCATGGTGGTGAGTTTGATTTTTCAGTTTTTGGCCTTGCAGGTCGCGGCCCAATGAGTAACTGCACACACCACTGAGACTCCAGATGTATTCATACAGAGAACCCTGAATCAGTGCCCCATGGTGAAGTGGCATCTCTGAATGGGAGTCCCCTAGGATTCTGTTTTGGCATCTGAAGCTCCTGAGCTTTTAGAACCGTCAGAACATGATTCTTAGACCTCACACGTTTCAGTAGACTGTCAGATTGAAGGCAGCTTCCTAGAGGATCTAGTGGCATGTGAGTGGGTGGGGTATAGTCCTAAGATGAGGAGTGTTTCCTGAGGCCTGGATCAGGAAGAAGCAGCTCCTCTTCATTACACACGTCAGGTAAGGCCAGGCAATGTTCCCCGGAATGAGCACAACTAGGTCACCCTCGGATCTGAGAAATTACTTTGCTAGGAATCTGAATGAGTAAAAGGCCTGCAGATACGGGCGTGCAGGGATGGATTTTCTGAAAGTCAGCTCCCCTGTAATCAAAGGATACTTAAGCCCACATCCTAAGGAAGGATTTAGTGATTGGAAAGTGAGTTTAAAAACAGCCTCAGGAACTGAAAAATAAAGCACAACCATTTGCTTGTGGGTTTTAAAGTTTGTCAGTTATTTCATTGTGCTGATTTATTCATGCCCTGGGCTCGTAGAGTCTGACTCACCTTGGCTCCAGGCAGACACATAATCCTTTTGGCCTATATTCAAATAAACAAACAAATAAGCCACAAACTAATTGTCCATGATGCCAGGGGTTACTTTTGTTAATTCCTTCTTGCAGGTCAAAGGGGAGATTGTCTCATTTGATGATGACGGTACCTCTGTGTCGTAAAGCAGCATACTGGCTCCCTTTTAGAGATGCTGTATACAAGCACCAAAAGGCCAAACTCAAACCCACTGCCACTGAGTCCACTCTGATGCTTGAGGATCCCAGGGCTTCTGTGACTATAAATCCTTACCAGAGCAGGTAGCCTCATCTTTCTCCTGAGTTGTGGGTTTGAACCACTGACCAAGCCTTTAACAGCCTAGTGTTTAATCCACAGTGCTACACAAGCTCCTTCAGTAGGATCCCTAGTAGCTCAATAAGCTGGTCAAGGTCACATGCCTAGTAACTAAATCCTGGTCTGTTGACCTCTAATGCTGGGTTGAGTAGGAGACGTTAAAATGTGCACATTCACAGGCATCAGCTCTGCTCTTCCAAAAGAGAATGTCCAGGGACCGAGGTCCAGGACATTCCATGTTTAACACATCCTCCAGGTCCTTCTTCTTTCCCTGATGTTTGAGAATCACTGTCTCTAATTCAGAAGAGAAGTCCTGGATGAAGAACCAGGGTCAGCCTGAAGGGATGGCACCCCTGCTCCCGACAGTAACTTTTAAGGACAGTCACAGCAAAGGGCACTCAGTCAATTTGTGAAAGCCCCTAACTCCCCGGCCACAGATGAAGTCCAAGTTCAGCGAAGCAAAGCAGGAGGTGGATGTGCTTGTGGAGGAGAACCAAAAAGAGTCCCCGAAACACAGAAAGCCAAGCTCACTCTCCTGGAGTTGATTCTGACTCATCACACCCTACAGGACAGGACAGAATGGTCTCTGTTGGGGTGAGACTGTAATTCTTTTGGGAATAGAGAGTCTAATCTTTCTCCCATTTGAGGAGGAGAGGATGGTGAAAATACCATAAATCAGATGACATTACATTGAGTGTCAGAGCTGAGCGAGATTGGGTCATCCAGCATCTCTCATGTGTTTTAAAGACCTAGAAAGCGGTAGCAGAAACCTACAAAGGGTCACACAATGAGGGGATGGTACAGTCGGAGGCAGACGTCTCCTGGCTCCTATTTTTCCTGGTTGGGCCACCACTTATTGTTGAGAGGTGTGTTGCCTTAGTTCTGACCCACAGTGATGCCCATACTTAAGATGATGGGACACTGACTTGCCATCTTCATTCACTGCCACGGAGTCCGTTCCAATACATATGGACCCTGTAGACAGGGTAGAGCTGCCCCTGTGGGTTCCCGACACTGACTTTTTGTTGGAGCAGAAGCCTCATCTTTCTCCCACTTGTGCCACCTTGACCATTATTGTAGTATTTGAAACCCTTGTTGTAGTCACTGTGTCAATCCATCTTGAATGGGGTTTCTTCTTTTTCTCTGACCTACCACTTAGCCAGTCCACTATTAGCATAGAGAAAATAACCGGGCTTTATTTTAACCCACTCCTTTATTTTGTAGGGACGGGAAGTAGAGAATCAGCATTCGTGTATTTTAATTCTGAAAATCACATCTGCTCGTACATAGAATAACTCACTGCCATCAAGCCGATTCTGACTCATAGCCACGCTATGTCGGGTTTCTGAGATTGCAAATCTGTATAGAAGCAGACAGCCTCATCTTTAGAAAGGTCAATGTATCCCACCAGGGACTAGGATGAATTCATTTCCCCCAGGAGGGAAAAGCTTATTTGGAGCCTTCTGTGGGACCACGAGGTTCATGCTCAACCATCGTCCCTCTAGAAGATGGCTCAAAGCCTAACACGAAAGAGCTACGACATCTATATTTTCAGTCTCAAGGTTTCAGTCACACCACACTTCTCCTCAGACTCTGACAGGAAGATGACCTTGGGCAGAGACCACATGCCTGGTGTCCTTTCCACGGGGCAGCAAAACTCCACTGGCCCTGTAGCCCTTTCCACCCCAGTCATCAGGAATGTCCTGATTGCATCCCTCTGATCTGCTTGGCTCTGGCTGGGGCTGCCACAGAATGAGCTAGAAACAGGGACCCAACAGGAGAGTGGGGGATGAGTGGTGTAGCCTGGAGCCCAAGAAACGATGCCTCACTGTCTCTTCAAAGAGATCAGTTGATGAAAGCTGGGTTCACAGGGGCCTTCCCACTGGTCTGAGTCCAATTCAGCGCTGTCTTCCATGCAGAGTGGAAGCCAAGGGGATCCTTACCTTTCTGATGCCGTCATGCTTCATTTCAATCACATGCAGGGTGTAGTTGGTCCGGCGTCCTTTCTCATTAAACTGTACGTTTCCTGTCAAGCCTTCAAAGCGCACCTAGAAAACCAAACAAGTCATGGAACAATGAATGCAGGGGTTGCCCTCCATGCTCGTCTGGTTTGTTCAGGAGAAGCACAAATCCAGAGCCTGAGAAAATTGCCTGGGCCCGGTCTTGGAGCCGCATGAATGGGAAAACTCTCATCCCTTGCCCATGGCAAACCCACACCTGGTGCTGTTGAGTTGACTCTGTGATGGCAATTCCATGTGTGTCAGAGTCAAGCGGAGAGTAGCACAGGCACTCCAGGGTGTTCAGTGTTTGATTTTTCAGAAGTAGAGTGCCAGCCTCTCTTTCAAGGCGTCTCTGTGTAGGTATTACTTTTTAAGCAGAATCCTCTTTCTCACTGAGCTAGGGGTCACACTGAAAACCTTCATGGTCCATTACTTTAAGCAAGCATTAAAAACAGGAATGGACACCAATTCCTAATAAAAATATACCATCACACCACCACCACCGCCACTCCACTGATACACACTGTATTATGAAGACATTAAGGGGAACCTGCGATGCTTAAGGACCTGGTTTCCATCATTGGTAAGTCAGGAGAAGGCTCAGGGCCAGGCACTTGCTCTGTGATGTCTATACTATGCTTTGAAATGGTTTCTTCATCCTTTTGTGAATCTCAAACAAAAAACAACAAAAACTCTAAACTCACTGCCATCGAGGTGATGCCGACTCATAGTAGCCCACTGTGCGTTTCCAAGTCTGTAACAGTTTATGGGAGTAGAAAGCCCCATCTTTCCCCCCCAAGGAGCAGCTGATGGTTTCAAACTGTTGATCTTGCAGATCACAACCCAATAATTGACTACTACACTGCCAAGGTTCCTTGGGAATGGAAAGATCTTCACTTCAAAAACCTGGATTTCACTTCAATCTGCCAGCCAAGTGACCTTGAGCACTGTATTTATCTGAGCCTCCTGTTTCCAAAATCCCTGGCCTGCTTATCTTACATGGCCTTTCACTTAAATGTGAAAGGCCTGAGACAGCTAGGGGCTCGGTTAACTTAAAGCAGTCTCACTAGGATACAACTGGATTTACATTGGACCCCCCAAAACATGCTACATTGGATGTCTCTCCACAAATGAGTCAGATAAAAGTTTCATGGCATCATATCTTTCAGATATTGAATGTCAAAGGATCAACACGAGGACCCAAATCTGTAAGTCCGCGTCTGTGGCTCTGTAAGTGACGTCAATGAACTTAAATTTGGACTCCAAAATTGAGAAGGTGTCTAGCTATCTAGCATCAGCTCAAGAACAGGAAGTTATTTCTCTGGTGGTGAGTCACAGCAGACCTAGAAATGCAGACGTGGACGCATTCGGGCTGCTAACTCAAATGTCAGGAGTTCAGACCCACACGCCACTCCATGGGAGAAAAGTGAGTCAGCTTGCATTCATAAAGATTTACATACTTGCAAACCCTCTGGAGCATAAAGCAGCGTGTTTATTTGCTTCTTCATTTTTTTTATGGTGACTCATAGGAGCCCAGGTGATACAGTGGTTGTGGTTTAAACCCACCAGCTATTCTGTAGAAGAATGTGACAGGCAGTCTGCTTCAGGAAGATTTAAACCTAGGAAACCCTATGGGCAGTTCTATTCTGTCCGATAGGGTCACTCTGAGTTGGAATTGGCTTGACAGCAATAGGTTTGGGTTTGGGAATAGTGATTCATGTTGGGTTCTCAGGACAGTGAATTGAGACTCTCTACAAATCTAGCCCTAGATCCTGGCACTGTTTAAATCCCATCTCCACCCCATCAGATAGCTTAAAAGGAAGGCTCCCAGTGCTTTATCTTTTTCTGACAGGGGCCAGCTCCTCCGCCTTCAGAAGGAATAAGAATAGCCAGAGTCTATATTAGAGAGTATGAGAGAGTGAGCGCATGCATGGTCATGTGTGTGTGTGTGTGTGTGTGTGTGTGTGCTGGGGGTGCCTGGGGGTGGGCCTTTTCTGAAGTTGAGCCTCTCATCATTTTCTGGTTTGAAGTCTCAGTGGGGAAGCCATGACAGGATCACAGAAATTACACAACAAGCTCTTTGCTTTTGCAGATGAAATCTGGAGGAGTCCCTGGATCAGGAAAAGTCTGGGTTGTCTTTGAGTTTTAGAGATGGGGGCTGGGGTTGGGGGGGAGAGAAATGTGCAAATCTTTCTGCACAGAATAAGAGAAGGAGCAGTTTCAGCCCTGCCAGCAACTTCACCTTCTCTTCACTTGGTCCTCCTTGCCATCTTGCCACCTACTACTCTATGGGGCAGGTGCCGTAGGCATTTAGACTCACTTGGAAAATCAGAATGGATGGCTGTGCAGACGACCGGATGGTGGATTGATTTACCTAAACCAAAGGAGGTGTTCTTATTGATCCAAATGGGCCTCTATTATTTGGGCCCAGTCTTTGTGTCGCACTAATCCTCAGAGTTGCACATTGGCAGGGAAGCCTGGTTAATCTCTACAACTCACTGTCCTTGTTGGCACACTGGACCGAAACATAAAAACAATCCCGAGGCTGGCCTCGGACCCGGCAGTGCTGGGCTTTGTTCGGTTGCACACAGGCTCGCTGTGAGTCGGCCCGCCTCCATGGCGCCTAACAACAACGGTTCGAATGAGTTATTTCTCAGGGTTTTCTTTCCAAAGGTTTAAATGACATAATTCATGATCAGGGCTTGGCCCATGTGGGGATTCAATATTTGCCAGCTGTTATTGTTATTACTTGTATGGCTGTTTTGTGTCTGGAATGCACTTTCATGAGTATTACTTCCTATCTGTTCTTCGGAAGTCCCGGAGGTGCACTGGCTGGAGATTATGGTCTTCCTTTAGTGGGAGAAAGAAACCAGTCCTCTGGGGAATCAAGTGATTGACTCAAGAAGGTCACAACTAGAAAGGGGCAGAGCCAGGGCTAAATCTGAGAGGTTCTCAAATGGGGCCAGTGTTGCTGTGCTAGGTGCTAAGGCAGGGCGCAAAAGCATGCCCTGCAGCGTGTTCCCTGCGCCTTCTCCTGCCACATCGTGTTAACACACAGCTGGACACTTTGCTCTATCGGAACCGGACTCTGTGGCTCTAGGCTAACGACTAAACCTCTGTGTTTTAGTTTCTTCCTCAAAGAACTCAGATGCTCATTGTATCATCTGGGACATAAATATTCAGTACATGTCAGTACCAAACCAGCTGCCACCGAGTCAACTCTGACGCATGGTGACCGCACATGTATCATAGTGGAATTGTGCTAAATAGGGCTTTGGGTGGCTAGTTTCTTGGAAGTAGAACACCGGTCTTTCTTCTAAGATGCCTTTGGGTGGGCTTGAACCACCTACTTTTTGATTAGCAGCTGAATGTATGGATTGCACCACTTATGGATAGTTCAGGAGTCTGCATTATTTAGATGGTGATGTGGTGGTAGTGGTGGTGCTTACTATGACGACTGTGCTGTGTAGAGTGGGTAGAATACTAAAACATCAAACCCACTGCCATAGAGTTGATTCTGACTCATAGCAACCCTACAGGACAGGGCAGAAGTTTCAAGATTGTAACTTTTTATGGGAGAAAATCTCATCTTGCTCCCACAGAGTGGCTCATGGTTTCAAGTTGCTGGCCTTGTAGTTAGCAGCCCAATTTGTAACCACTATGGCACCAGGGTAAAGGATGGAAAAATGAAAGATTTCAAATTGAAGCCCTGGGTCTGCTAAGTTGTTGTCTCAGTGCAGGGACTCTTTCAGCTGACACACATTATAGTGATTGTCACTTTTACATGACTTCCCCAGTGTCCAGTAAGGTTGAGGGTCTCACATACATAGTTCTAGTGACCTGAAGTTCCCTTGCATTTATGCCGTGTTTGTGCAGACAGTAGCTTATTTGATGTTCAAAGAAACTTAGTAGCCAGGGAGTTGTTTGCTTAGGTGTCTTTTTTGTTGTTGTTGTTGCTTAACCCTCCCCCCACCACCTATTTTAGAAGTAATATTATCGAGATTCCAAGCTTAAGGGACTTGTTTCAAGGATTCACATAAAATCCTTGTGGAGGCTATGAAACTGGAATCCTCAGTATTTAGTTCGAGAAGCCAAGACGTACACACAGTGAGATAAGTCAAAACTTCACAACCAAGCTCAATGCCGTCAAGTCTACTCTGACTCATGGTGACCCTGTAGGGCTGGGTAGAATCGCCACTGTGGGTTTCTGAGACTGTAACTCTTTACAGGAGTAGAAATTCTCATCCTTCTACCTCTGAATAGTTAGTGGCTTCAAACTACTGACCTTAGCAGCCCAACTCATAACCACTCTACCACCAGAACTTCTGGTGAGATCAAAGTATTTGAGAAATGGGAAAGGAGATGCCCAGAATCAACATTCAGTGATGGCAGGCAAGAAGATGCCCAAAATGGTTCAGCCACAAATCATTTTTTATAGAGCATCAGACTCAGAGGAAGGTATTTCTCAGAAATAGCTGCTTTACATAGGACCAGAAGGGTTCTGGGGTTCTGTTCTCTGCATCTATCAGAGCTAAGACCCTGGAACCCTCTGGGCCAGCATGACTGGGTTCAGACTGATGGAGACAGGGCCTTTCCGTTGATTTCTACTTCCTGGAACTCCTGAGGCCATTCTGGCACTCATCATTGCCCTCCATGAATGATGGAAAATTGACCTTGGGCTTCCTGTAAGTGCTATTGGGTGATAGCTCATAGTCTGCCATAGACTGTGTGTGTGATGAAGTACAAATGTTCTTTCCTGCCTGGTGCAGGGAAGGTGCTGGTTCATGTGGGTGCTCCTTGAGCCTTCGACACTGCTTTCCCTCTGCTCCTCAAGAAGCATCTCCCTAGTGGGTTCTGAGCATCTGAGGGAGACAGATAAGCCTCTTTTAGCCTCCAGCGACAGCTACTTCATTCAGCTGGGTCCTTCCCTTTCATTCCAGCTGGACCATGTCCTAGTTATTTTAACTAGCATGTAGCTCAGGACCCCTGGATAACTTCCACTTTTCCACCCGAACAATGGGAAGCCTAATCTTGGCTCTGTCTCATGC